TGTTAGTTATTCTGAAGAAGCTTATAGCGAAACGTCAACCAAGTTGTTTTTTATTGAGTATCTAATTATATAATATTATAATTATATATATATATATATATATATATATATATATTATATATATATATATATATATATATATATGTATTCAAAAGCTCTAGACTGTAATGTTTTTTAAAAATTTTAAATAGATGATCAGTAAAAAAACAATTTAATTAACGTTTTGCAATATGCTTCTTTAGATCTATATACGTATGTATATATATTTATATATTTATATAATACTGATAATATTATACATAAAATGTTATACCAACCTGCACATAGTTCCAAGCCAAGGGAAATGAAGCATTTTTGGATGCCATTGATTCAATGTAGAATGAAATCCTTCCAAACAACTGGTTTGATCATTTGAAGACAGGTTTTTGATGTCATTTAAAATAGCTGTGTTCATAAGAATGTCATTCAACTTCTCAAATGCAACAGTTCCTAAATTAATAATATATAGATCTGTAATAAAAATTCTAGGAACAAGTTAATTTTATTAAAGAATTTATGGTGAAAAAAGACAAAATGTTACTTGTTTAATATTAGATTAACATTACTTGTTTTGTATATTTCAGTCAGTATAGACAATGATGAAGATGAGAGTCAAAAAGGTCTCAGGGTGTTAAATGTTTTGTGTATCCAAATTTCCTTGATAAAGCTTATCAGTATTATTTTGTAATTTTGGTATCTTATTCATATTTTAGGCATCAATCTCAGACATTGGTGTGCTGTTTGGTGATAGAGAGACACAACTGCAATGCTACATTTAAATTTGGACTCTTACCTTCTTTAATCCATTTACGATCCCTTTCTAATCTTTCATGGGTGCACTTTTTGAAAAGGCTGTCAGGTTGTGAATCATGCTCATCTTGGACATGACAAATGAACGATTTCCATTTGGCAAGAATTAGCGAGCCAAAGCCTTCCTTTGTAGTTGTGGCACTCCAATACAAGTGGGTACGTATTGATGGTATCCAACGATTGATAATCTGCAATTTGTTTCTTTGGCTGCCCTCAGGAGTTTCTTTGTTATCGTTCTGGCCACATGCCATATATCAAAGTAGTGCGAAACTGATGGGTGAGAGTCTCTTATCCATTTTGCTACACCTCGGTGTCTATCAGAAACAAATGTAGAGACTTCAACTCCAGCACTGCCAAGCGATTCAAAAGCCTGTTGAAACCCAAGCAGCTCCATCGTTGGAGAGCATCCCTTTACACTACTTGCCTGTAAAAAATGGAGTAACATAACATTTTAATATTTATTTTGAATAACAAGCATGACCTAGAAAGATGTCAATTTGTATGTACAGTATAATTACATGATGATATTTCAATGTATATTTCTGAAAAATGTTCTTTGGATTAAATGGCAGAAGCCATTGACATATAAAATGCCACTATTGAAATCATCCATGTTTCCTTTGATGAATTAAAGATTTTTATAATATTGCAAATTTCTACTTAGAGGAATTTGAATACTTGATTTCTATATACAGTGCAAACGTTTTAGGGAAAAGTTAAACTCAGTGAGGGTTCCCCATAACTTTAGCTGCAGGGGAGACATCATATTTTTTCTAACATGCCATTATTTAGTCTTGTTCTTAAGAGTAAAACTGATGTAATTCATTATGTTTCTTATAAAGTGACCTAAAATATTGATTTTTTTATATAATTCCAGACCTCAAGTGTTGACATGGAATCTCTGTATAGATGGGTATTGATTACACCTGGGATAAGCTGATAAAGCATGGTACCTGAACAAGTTCAAAGTGGACAATTTTTGATAAGTTGCTGCAGAAGAGTGTGTATGCACCATATTTTGCTGAATGACCCATTGAGTCAAAACGACCATCACCACAAATTGAAATATTCTTCAAACCCTCCATTTTTTCCATCATAGCTTTTCTATACATTTCCCAGTATCGAAGAACTGCAGGAAAAATAAAACGCTTCTGC